CTTGTGCTTGCGAAGCAGGCGGCAAAACCACTGAGCTAAATCCCCGGCCCCAAGTTTTTAGTTTCTATTAGTATATGTTTGTGATACAGAATAATTACGTTCATCTTGGGGAATTGGTACATGTACATATCATATTTTAATTTTACATCCCCTTCCCCTTCCTTCCCTCCATCCCTCCCTATTGCTAGATCTCTTTCCCATCACCACAAAATCTACCTCCCTGTTTCCTATCATCTATCTTTTATTTTGCTCTTTAAATTATTTAAATTTTAGGGTTTCTCAAATGAAAAAAACCCATGAGGGGCCGGGGATTTAGCTCAGTGGTTTCGCTGCCTGCTGCGCAAGCGCAAGGACCCAAATTCAATCCCCGGTACCAAAAAGAAAAAAGAAAAAAACCCATGCAATATTTAACCTTCAGTATCTGATTTACTTCACTTGTGTTATGGTCTCAAGGTCCATCTATTTATCTATCTATCTATCTATCTATTTTTCTTTTTTGGTACCGGGGATCGAACTCAGGTCCTTGCGCTTTGCGCAGCAGGCAGCAAAACCACTGAGCTAAATCCCCAGCCCATATATAATTTTCTATACCCATTTATCTGTTGAAGAGCCTGTAGGCCATTACCAAGATTTAGCTATTATGAATTATGGTGCCATAAGCCAGCCATGGCAGAAAGAAGCAAGATCACTGCCAGTTTGAGGCCAGCTTGGGCTACATAGTGAGACTCTGTCTCATAAAAACCAAGACAGGGCTGGGGATTTACCTCCATGGTTCTGCTGCCTGCCTTGAAAGTGGTAGGTCCCGAGTTCGATCCCTGGTACCAAAAAAAAAAAAAAAATCACGACAGAAAAAAAAAAAGAATTATGCTACCATAAACATGGGTATGGCTTATATCGTTGTCCTTGTTCATTTTTTTGGTACTGGGGATTGAACTCAGGACATTCCGCTTGCAAGGGAGGTATAGTGCCACTGAGCTAAATCCCCATCCCTATCGTTGTAATATGATGTCTTTAACTTTTGGGAAGATGCCAGAATTGTGGCTGGGTCAAATGGAATTTCTAGTTTCAGGGGGTTTTTTTGTTTTTTTGGTACCGGGGATCAAACTTGGGTCCTTGCGCTTGTGCAGCAGGTGGCGAAACCACTGAGCTAAATCCTCGGCCCTTTTTTTGGTTTGTTTTTTTTTTTGGTACCGGGGATCGAACTTGGGTCCTTGCACTCTCGAGGCAGTCGGGGGAACCACTGAGGTAAATCCCTGGCCCTAGTTTCAGTTTTTGGAAGAAACTCCATGCTGATCTCCATAAAGGTTGCACTAGTTTATATTTCCACCAACAATGTAGAAGGGTTTTGTTATCAGGTAGCTCCTTCTAAAAGTGGCTCACCAAATAAACGTTACTGGGTTTTGGGTTCCTTGCCTCTCCTTTGGAGTTAGAGTTCAGGTTCTTGTCTCAAAAAAAAATAATTGAATGAAATGAACAAAAAGCAGTGGCAAAGTTTATTTGAAAAAGTAAAAGTGAAGAGTGAAAGAAACTGGCTCTGTAGAGTGAGCTTGGACTAAATAAAAGAGGAAAAAGTGAGATAAAAGTACACCCTGGAGAAAGCAGGGTGGGCTACCATGGGGAAACCATGACAGTGAGCTCTTTTGGCATCTGGGTCCTTTTCTACTGTCCATATCTTGAAATCAGTTCTTCTACATCTGGGTCCTGAGAGGCGGTGCTGGGATCTCACACCTCAGGCTGAGGTCAGCTAGGCATCCTGTTGGAAACCTGCTGGAGTTCTCAGGAAAAGTCCATGTGCAGGGCTTTGAGAACTGTTCCATGGATGTGTCCCAGGATTTTGTAATTAACCAGTTACACCTACTTCCCCTGCGAGCTTTGCCATTCCCTAATCTCCTGTGTCATTTTCTTCCCCACAACTTCACCAACATGTGGGTTTTGTTGTTGTTGTTGTTGTTTTTGGTACAGGGATCAAACTCGGGACCTCGAGCTTGCAAGGCAGGCGGTGGAAGCAATGAGCTAAATCTCCAGCCCTGTTTGGTTTTTTGTTTGTTTTTGAGACAGGGTCTCATTATGTAGTTCAGGCTGGCCTGGAACTCTCAGCAATCCTCCTCCCTCAGCCTCCTGAGCGAGTGCTGGGATTACAGGTTTGCTCCCCTATGCCTGGCAACAGCTGTTGTTTTTGAAATTCTGGATGATAGCCATTCTTTCTGGAGTAACATGGAATTTCAGTGTTGATTTGCATTTTCCTTTTTTTTTGGTACCAGGGATTGAACTCAGAACCTTGCGCTTTCGAGGCAGGCAACAGAACTACTGAGCTAAATCCTGGGCCCTGATTTGCATTTTTCTTTCTCTCTCTCCCTTTCTTTCTTCCTTCCTTCCTTCCTTCCTTCCTTTCTTCCTTTCTTTTGAGACAGGGTCTTGCTATGTAGTTCAGGCTGGGCTTGAACTCACTATGTAGCCCAAGATAGCCTTGAACCCTCAGCAATCCTCCTGCCTCAGCCTCCTGAGTGCTGGGATTACAGGTGTGTACCACTCATCTGACTGATTTGCATTTTTCCAATGGCCAGTGATGCTGAACATTGTTTCATGTACTTATTGGCTATGTATACTTCTTTTGAGAAGTGTTTTTTTGTTTTGTTTTGTTTTTTTGGTACCGGGGATCGAACTCGGATCCTTGTACTTGTGAGGCAGGCGCTGGAACCACTGAGCTAAATCCCTGGCCCCTGAGAAGTGTTTATTAATATCAGTTGCCCATTTGTTTTTTGTTTGTTTTTTGGTACCAGGGATCAAACTTGGGACCTTCTGCTTTCAAGGCAGGCAGCGGAACCATCCTGAGCTAAGTCCTGGCCTGCTCATTTGTTTTTGAAGGGGTCTTTTGTTGTTGTTGTTCCTTATATATTCTAGATACTAGTGTCTGTCCATAGGTATCTGGCACCCAGACTCTTCTTTTGTGAAAGGACTTTTGGTAAATTGCTAAATTGCCTAGGCTGGGCTTGAACTTGGAGTCCTTCTGCCTGAGCCAAAGATTATAGGCGTGTGCTGTCATGCCCAGTTTAAATAAATTTTCTTGTATATAATGAAGATATACAAGATGATTTTATGGGATACATAAAAATAGTTTAAAAATTACTATCATGAATCAGATTAATGTACCTCTCATCCCACATAGTGCTTTTCTAATTTGTTTATTAATTTTTTTGAGACAGGGTGTCCAGGTGCTCCTCAAACTCGGCAGCTAAAGTGATCTTCTTGCCTCAGCCTCTCCAGTAGCTGGGACTACAGGCCAGCGACTTCACTTTTTGTTATTGTAGCAAGAACAGCTGCTATCTATTCATTAGCTGTGAATTCTATATACTGTACAGGAGCTGGGGATTTAGCTCAGTGTCACAGCACCTGCCTTGCAAGTGTAAGGTCCTGAATTTGATCCCTGGTACTGGAGGGGGGTGGGGGGATATATACTGTACAATATAATTTTATTACCTACCATCTTCATGTTGTACACTAGATATTATTTCACTCTTAGCACTTGATCTTAGCCTAAAGGGTGAGAATAAATTATTATTTCACTCTTAAAAATCTAAGCCAATTAACTGAGTATGGTGGTGCCCACCTGTAATCCCAGAACTGGTGAGGCTGAGGCAGGAGGATCACTATGAGTTAGAGGCCAGCCTATGTACATAGTGAGTTCAAGGCCAGCCTGAACTACATAGTGAGACCCTGTCTCAAAAAAACAAAAACACTCGCAGGCGCAAAGATCCAAGTTTGATCCCTGGTACCAAACAAACAAACAAACGACAAAATTTTCAAAAGTGGCTCCCTAAACTTCCATATTGGGGTTTGAAGATTCAGTGGAATAGTAAGGTAGAAGTAATTGATTGAGGGCCGGGGATTTAGCTCAGTGATTCTGGCGCCTGTCTTGCAAGTGCAAGGTCCCGAGTTCGATCCCAAAAAAAAAAAAAAAACAACACACACACATACACACAGAGCTTGGTGCACACTCATTATTATTTCACTCTTAATATTATTCACTCTATT